TGCATGTCTCAGTAGTTTGTTCCTTTTTATTAGGTAATTGTATTCCATAGTCCAGTCGTACCACAAAATAACCATTTACCTCTTGAAAGATATCTGAGCATTTTCCAGTTTTGACTGATGTGAATAAAGCTCCTATAAAACTTGATGTACTGTTGTTGTTGGTTTTAATTTTTTTTGGTTGGTGAAAGTTTCCGTTTCTCTGAGACAGATGCTCAGGAGTGCAGTTGAATGGGTCCTACCATAACTGCAGGTTCAGTGGAGTGTTTATTTTAAGAAACCGACAAACTATTTTCCCCCATGGTAAAAGACATATCATTTTATATCTCCACCAGCAATGTGTGAGTGATTGTTTCTTTCCATCCTCAGCAGCAATTGGTGTTGTCACTATTTTTTTTTTATTTCTGCCATTCTGATAGGTGTGTATAGATGTCTCCTTGTGGTTTTAACTTCCATCTCCCTAGTCGGTAATGCTGTTCATGTGCTTATCTGCCGGCTCTGTATCCTCTGGTGCAGTGTCTCTGTGTTTTGGTGTTAAGTCTGCTCTTTACTGAGGCCTAGATTTTGAAGACTTGATCCTGTGTTATTATCCCTGCTTTTAGAGTTTTACGTTTTACATTTAAGTCTGTGCTCCATTTTGAGTCAATAGTTTGTGTAAAGTGTCAGACTTAGGTCGAGTCTTTCTTTTGGTTTTCCCTTTGGATAGCCAGTCATGCTGTCCAGCACCATCTGTTGGGAAGACTGACTTTGCTCCATTGAATTGCCTTTACACCTTTGTCAAAAATCAGTGGGCCATACTTGTGTGAAGCGACTTCTCAATTCTCTCTTCTGTTGCTTTCATCAGTGTGTCTGTCTCTCTGACAATGCCTTGCAGTCTTGATTACTGTAGCTATATCAACCTTGAAACCAGGTTGAATAATTTCTATGACTTGATTCTTCTTTGCTGAAATTGTTTGGCTCTTTTAATTCTTTTGCCTTTCCACATAAATTTTCGAATAATCTTGCCAATATTTACAAAAAATTCTTTCTGGGGTCTTCATAGGAATTGTGTTCAACTGGACCCATCACATTGAGGAAATGGACATTTTTACTTGTTGTTTTGTATTTGTTTATGAGATGGTGAGTCAGGTGTGGCCACGAGAAGAGGCAGTGGCTCAGGAAAACCAAGTTTATTATACTCACAGGTCCTAGAGGCAGGCCTGGCATGCGACTCAGGGCCACATGGAAGACCAGCGAGGGATATCGCTTCTCGGCCTTTTGGCTAAGATCTAGTGAAAACCAGCAAGGTGGTCGGGAGGCAGAAACCTGGAGCCAGGGAAGTGCTTAGATCATGGTCTTCATTAGGATTTTGGGGGGGGTGGGGGGGGTGGTGTGGGGAGGCAAGCCAGGGCATGGGAACAGTTTCAGATTGGCTAGTTTGAATGATTTTGACAGGTTTTTGTGTTATAGAGATAGTCTTTAGTTGCATGGCACCTGGCCTGGAGGTGGTGAAGGCAGAGGATTATTGCTCCCTGGGGCATAAAGGCCAGACAGAGGGGGTGTGACCCTGGTCTGGTTAGGTGGCGTGTCAGTCAAGCGCTTGAGTGGGCCCTTCACCACCTGCAAGAGTTGGCTGGCGTCAAGAATGGCTGCCTCTCCCAGCCAGAATGTTTTTTTAAGGATGTCAAAATACAATGTACAGAAAATAAAGTACACACACAAAATTCATCTCTCCATTTATTTAGATCTTCTCTGATTTCTTTAAGCAACCTTGTGTGGTTTCAGCATACAGATCCTATACAGGTTTTCTTAGATTTACACCTGAGCATTTCATTTTTGTAGTGATTGTAAATTATATTTTTATCAATTTCCGTGTGTTCATTGGTAATATGTAGAAATACGGTTGATTTTGAATGTTGATATTGTATCCTGTGATCTTGCCAAACTCACTTATTAGTTTTAGGAGTTTTTCTTAGATTTTTGGGGGATTTTCTTTGAAGATAGTAATGTCATCTGCACATAATTATCTCTTTCACACTGGGTGAGATATGATGGTTTGTGTTATTTTAGTTACATTCTTTTGATGTCTGCTTATTTTCTGCCTACTTGTTTTGTAAGTTGTTGAGGGAAGGGTGTTGAAATTTACAACAATAATTGTGGATTTGTCTGTTTCTTCTTATAGTCCTGGCACTTTCTGCTTCATATATTTTATAGCTTTGTTTGGCATGTACACACTTAGGACTGGCATGTTTATTTTTGGTGGATTGGTCCTTTTATTATTATGTAATGTTTCTGTTGGTCTCTGGTAATATTCTTTGCTCTGAAGTCTACTTTACTGGAAATTAATATAGCCATTCCTGCTTTCCTTTGATTACTGTTACCAGGATATATTTTTTCCTCTCTTTTTACTTTCAATCTGCTTCTATCAGTATATTTATTGTGAGTTTCTTGTAGACAGCATATACTTGGGTCATTTTTTTTTAATTTATTTTTTAATATTTATTAGAATTTATCCTTTTTTATTTTTTAATTTATGTATAGTTGTCATATAATATTATAGCAGTTTCAGGTGTGAAATATAGTGATTTGACATTTGTATACCTGACAATGGGATCACCGCACTTAGTCATCATGTAGCGCCACGCAAACATACCACAATATTATTGACTATATTCCCCTTCACCTTTTTCACCCATCCCCCCACCCACTTCCCTCTGGCAGCTGGCAGGGTGGTGTTTTTAATACAACTCAGTCTTTTAATTATTGCATTTAGACCATTTGCATTTAATACAATGATTGATGTTTGATCTTAAGTCTACCATTTTATTTGTGTTTGTTCTTGCTTTTTTTTTGTTTATGCCTTCTTTTTACTGCTTTTATATGAGTTACTGAACTATTTTTATAATTCTATTTTGATTTTTAGTGTTTTTCACTGTAACTCTTTGTATACATTTTTAGTGGTTGCTCTATACATTATATATATAATGTGCATATAGTATATATGAATGTAATTATATGTAACTTAACACAGTCTACCATTGTCATCATTTTAGCAGCTCAAGTGAAATATGGAAAACTTCCCTTTTCAACACTTTAGTTGTCTTAAATATATCCTCTAAGTACATTTAAAGCCAAATAAGACAATTTTTGTATTTGCTTCAACCATCAAACATAACGTAGAAAACTTAATAGTAGAGCCTATTTTATTTACCTATATTTTTGCCTGTTATTTTCCATGGTCTTGCTTCATTCTTCATATTTCATGGTTCTTCCTTTTATCATTTCTTTTTTCTTTAGAACACTTTCTTTTCCCATTTTTAGGGTAGGTGTGCTGGTGACAAATTGCTGTTTTTGTAGGTAAGAAAAATGGCTGAACATTGTTTATTTTGGATGGTTTAATGTAATACCCGAGAAGGATCAGTAGAGGTGAAAGGAAAAGGAAGACCGAATGCAGAAGTGACCTGCTGCAGGGGCCAATGCGATGTATGTGATTCCTCTTTGCCCCTGAGCCACTTCATGCGGGGGTGTCCAATCTGCAGCCCGTGGGCCGCGTGCATCTCAGGATGGCTATGAATGCAGCCCAACACAAAATCGTAAACTTACTTAAAACATTATGAGATTCTTTTGTGATTACGTGTTGCAATGTATTTAATAGGTGGCCCAAGACGACACTTCTTCTTACAGTGTGGCCCAGAGACGCCAAAAGGCTGACACCCCTGACAGAGGCTTTACTGTATAAAGTAGTGTGTGTGAGGGTGTTATACATTGTGGTATATCCATAGAGAGGAATATTACTCAGCAATGAAAACGAACAAGCTATCGAGATATGTGACAACATGGACGAATCTCTAATGCAATATGCCATGTGAAATCCAGAAAAAAGAATGCATAGTATGTGACCCATTTACATAAACTCTAGGAAATGTGAATTAATGCCAGGTGGTAACTTGGTGGCTGTCTTGGGAGGAGAGAACGGGAGTGGGATGGAGGGATTAACTACCAAAGGCACTTGAGGAAACACTTGGGGCTGTTGCTGCCTTAATAGTGGTGATGACTTCACAGGTGCGTAGCGATGCCAATTGTGTCTTAAGTGTACATTTTACATATATGCAGTTTATTGTAACTTAATAAAGCTGTTAAACATCAACAAGCATTCCTCTTGTACATGACTCTTGTGTAGCGTACCTCACATAGAACTGCGGCTCCTCTATACTCTTGTCAAATTGCTCTGGAAGTTTTAAAACGCTTGCTTTCAGTTTTTTATGCTTTTGTCTTCGTCGATGGTGAGAACTAGACTGGTCTGTGCACCACGCTTGGATGGGGCCACATTGTTGTGGAGCAGTGCGCCCACCCAATCTTATGTACATCTATTTCCACCCTGGAGCGGGGCCCTGATTTATGTGTCTTTCTGAAACCATTGTCCCCTACTTCCTGGCCACATGATGATTCCATTAACCTGTGTTCTAGTGTACGAATCTGCTAATGAGTGTATGGGATTTTCTAAGCATGCTCTTAAGAAGTGAACTCCATTTGATAAATACTGCAGAATTTCAAAGTAGATTATGTTGAAACTCTGGTGTAGTCTTGCTGCTCTCAGATGTTTTTAAAGGAATCATTTAAAAGTTTAATGCAAGGCAAGACTTTTTCAAAGTGGGGTGTGCTGGAACACACAGGGTAGAGCCCGTGCTCGGGGCCGGGCCGTTGGAGCGGCCTGGACGGAGGCCGCCGGACCTCCCGTCCCGAGTCCCCTGTCTCTGAAGGTGGAGCACCAGTTGCCGCAAAGGGTCCGTTTCTTGGTCATTGGTAAGTGCTTTCCAGATGTGAGCATATTTTACTGGATATATTTTTACCTTCATCAGAGAGAGTTACTATTTTTTTCAGGAATAATGCTCATATTTCAAAAATAATTTGGAAACGAGTTCTTAAAAATGGAAGGCGAATTCTGTAGAATGTCTTGCCTTTTACACATAGGTTAAAGAACTGGGAGATACAGATGAAATAATATACTTTTTTTCTCTTTTCAGGCAATTACCCTCTTAACTGAATTAATTAGGGAAAACTTCAGGAATAGCAAATTAAAACAGTGCCTTCTACCCACCCTCGGGGAGCTGATCTATCTTGTAGCCACCCAGGTGAGACTGTGTGATTACCTCTGTTGCTCTTTGACGTGTTCTGACATATCCTGGCTGACAAGTATTAATATCCTATAAAAGGTTTTTGACTTTGCCCCTTAGAACATGCCCGAGGAACTTAGGAATAATTTTACTTCTGGAGCAGAGAGGCGATCAGTGTCTTTCCATCTGTCTCAGTCTGTCTGTCTGTCACCTTCCCTCTCTCCCAGTGCCTTTTCTATTTTAGAGTATAGGAGAGCCTCAGGTCGTATTTTAGAGCCGGGGACGGAAGTCCAGAAGTGCCCCCTGGCCTGCTGCTGTCTCTGACTGCTTAACATGGCCATACGAATTTGGGACTTGAGAAAAAAGTGTCAATATGGACGTATGATTGAATTCAACGATTGAAAACTTACTATTTCATCAATGTATTTTTAGAATATTATTGAATAGCTATTGGTAAATTATGGGTTATTCATTTCATTTAATACTTTTGCGAGTTTTAAATAAGTGCTGGTAAGTTATAAGTTAATCAGGCAGTTCTCATTGTACTTCTGATGTTTTTGTTCTAGAATTTGCTTAAATGTTACATAACCTGAGTATCCTTAGTATGTAAGTTCAACTGACTTTATGGACAGCCATCATTTTAAGGCAACTACCGTAATTGTTATAAAAGGTCAATATTTAAAATCACTTAGCATCGTAATTAGTATTGATAGCTGGCACAGCAAATCCCTCCTTATTCTTTCTTTCATAAATGTCTAGGCTGTGCCTGGCCCTTTGCATGTCAGAGTAGATTTTAAAATCAGCTTCTCCAATTCTGCAAATCATTTTTTAAAAAAATTGCGTTGAATATGCAGCTCAACTTGGGAAGTATTGATGTCTTTATTATTTTGAGCCTTCAAATGTCTATTTGGAATGTGTATCAGCCAATTAGGAAGCAGTAGTATATGGATGGCACTTTGTCTTCCAGTATACAAAAAATGGCAGTTTCATACATTTATATTTTTAAAAGTATTTTCATTAAAGTTATGAGTCTGCCCTAATTTTTTTGGTTCTACTAAAAAAATAAAAATTCCCTCCAGCTTAATTGAGGTCTAAGTGGCATGCAATAAACTGCATCATGTGTAAAGATTACAGTTTGATCAATTTTGATATGTGTGTATCAAAAACCATTGTGAAGATCAAGATAATGACCACATCTGTCACCTCCAAAAGTTCCCCTGTACTCTTTGAAATCTCTTTCTCCTACCCCACTTCCTGCCCCCAGGCAACCATTGATTAACTTTCTGTCTTATAGACAAGTCTGCATTTTCTAGAATCTTAAATAAATGGAATCATACAGCATCATACTCCTATTGTTTCTAAAAATAGATGTAGAGAATCATTCTCCTCGGTGCTTACTCTAATTGGCTATAAGCTCGGCTATTTTAATAAAGCCTGTATCTGTGGCCATGGCATTTGACCACATCTTATGATAGCAAACCTGAAAAGGGAATCCTGTCCCTGGGTCCACGAAAAGCAATGTTTTCAAGAGATGAGGGCTTTTGTGGCATTGTCATTTTGAATATATGTAAACCTTAAAATCTCAAGTCAGTGCAGACCTTGTGAGACTGACCTGAAGTGATGCTGTAGATAATGGAGAGACCTAAGCCCTGTCCTATTGATGTTCTGACGTCACCCCAAGGTTACAGGCTCAGGGACAGAAGACCAGAGTGTGATTCTGCAGAGGATATATTGGGTTCGCCAGAGAGTCCGTTACCTTTTTTCCATATAATATGACACATTTTTCATTTGTACCAATAACTTTATCGATTTGGATATTTTTGAGTATGTCGGCTAATTCCTGCTATTGGCTTCTAGTGGGTAGAGGCCAAGGGTGCTGCTAAACATCTTCCAGTGCACAAGACAGCCCCACAGCAATGAATTATTGGGCCAGGATGTCAGTAGCGCCAAGAAACTTCACAAACCACTTTTGACACGTTTGATCAGTCACAGCACCTTTTCCATACACTGCACAGATCTTTTTTTGTTTCACTTGTGTTTTTACCTTTCTTGAAATAATAAAGCATAATATGCTGAAAATGTTGCTTATTTTCTTCTACCTTCAATATTAAAATACAAAAATTCACCAATTTTGATGTTTTTTAAAAATCTGTACTGATATGACAGCTGTCACAATACAATCTAACAAAATTATTTTGAATGAAGTTAAAGACAACTAAGTGCTAGTAGAGCCATCATACAGAAAAAATATAACAGACTTTTTGGCCAACTCAATATAAAGTAATACCAATACAGTTTATGGGTTTTTTTCCTTTTGTCAGGAATGCCTTCCGCCTGAGTCCGGTTATTCTTATTTTGTCTTTTTTTTTTTTTTTTGTCTAGCCCATAATCATCTCTCAGCTGTCCTGTGTTAAGAATTCCCAGACAGTCTCCTTACTTCACTCTTGTGTCCATAAAAGTCTGTGTTCCAGACATCAGCCACAGCAAGCCTGTTAGAAACACAGGAGAGACTACCGTGTCACTCCTCACAGCCCCCTGGGGCTTCTTGTCTTGCTCATTGTCATAAATCCCCCCAGGGCCTCCCCAGTGCCTGTGTGGCCCCCGCCCTCACTCCCTCCCACTCCTCCCAGTTTCCAGCCTCATTGACCTGCCCGCAGTTCCTTGACCAGGCCGCGTCCTGCTCCTGCCTGCCCATCTCTGCCCTTGCCATTCCTGCCGCGCACAGCAGTTCCCCCAGAAGTCTGCCTTTTCTCTGTTCGAGTGGATCCCTTCAGAGTCTTCCTGACGCTAAGCAGTGTGAGACGGAGCCCCACCCTGTCTACAGTCTCCTCTTACGCCTCACCTGCTTTGTTTTATTTTATACTGCCCATCACTCTCTTGACTGACTTGTTTGGTTTACTGCATTGTCTTAAGTCTCAGTCCCCACTAAGCACTATTATAGCAGGAAATGTATCTGGCATGTTCATTTATCTGTGTTCAGAAGAGTTCCTGGCACATAGTAGGTGCTTTTCCCCTGAGGGAACAGCACCAGGGCCCATGGGCCCTGGGGGAAGTGAGCGAGGAGGCAGGGCCGGAGAGACTGGCAGGCACGTGGTCCCGAAGGGCTCCGTGGCCAAGCTGGAAGCCTTCGTCTTGAGCCTAAGGGCAAGGGGAAGTCATGGAGGCTTTGAAGAAGGGTCATGATGTCACCTGATATAAATGCCAGAGATTATTCTGGTTCATATGTGGAGAGTAGATTGGAGAATGGTAAGGGAGGGTTCTGAGAACCAAAGTGAGACTAAGTGAAGTAGGAGCAAAAGGGGAGAGAACAGAGTGTTTCAGGAAAGAGACACTCAGTAGGGCTGAATGAACATAGCATGTGGTCCAAGAAAAAGGACAAGAAAGAGCACACTGGATTGAGTGACATGAAAGTCACTGGTAACTTGACAAGAGATATTTTATATATTCATGGTTTTGTGTGTGTGTGTATGTTTTCATGTGGAGGGAGGGAGACAGAGTCAGACTGGAGCGTGTGCCGGATTTAATGGGAAGTGAGGGAACTGCGGAAGGCGGCGTGAGGCGAGGTGGGTTGTAAAGGAGCGGAGCAGGGCGCTGAAGCGGGCCCTGTTTTGAAAGTGGGAGGTAGCGAGTCTGTTCAGGTGGAAATGGAACAGATGCAGCCGGGACAGGACATTGAAAATTTAGGTGCAGTAGGGGCTAGTCTGTAACCTAATGACCCTGAAGAAGGTGGGATGGGACCCTGGCCCCGCGCTGAAGGGGAGTGTGTCCTGTTACCACTGGGTAGCAGCAGATCGCTGTCCTGTAGAGAAGTTAGTTTCTTTCTTGCAGCTTCCTTGATCTCCGTGAAGGAGAAGAGAGGGAGTTGGTGAGAGAGAGAAGCAGGCCTGGAGAGTGATGATGAGGGTCCCTGGGCTTGCTGATCCACAGTGGCTCACGGACTCTGTGTTCTGGGTGATGCCCGGAGTGCAGGCCTGGAGGAAACGAGCCTCCGGCTTCCTCCGAGGTTGAGCTCACCCGCACAGGGGAGGGGCGGCCAGAGGGGGAGGCCAGCCTGGCTTTGGGCAGGAGCAGGTAAATGGTAGACGGGAACGGGGAGGGATGTTAAAGGACGGTTGTGGGCGGATGCTTTGAATAAGTGAGCTGGAGGGGAAGGAAGTTCTTTGGAAGTTAAGTTGGGGGCCGAATCGGTGATTTTCGAGCTGGAGCAGCTTGGCATGAGGACGTCTAGATTCAGAACATGCGTGCACATCTGTGGTTAATGGCATAGTTTTAATGGGTCACAGTCCTCACTGTTAGTATACAGTACATTTGGATCCAGAAGGTACCAGTTGTTAACATTTGGATCATCTTAAATATTTTCTCCAAACAGAATCTAATTTGCTTGGCTCCAGAGATGGAATTTTTGCACCTTTCTTTGTGGGACCTGATTCATTTTGTGATTTTGTGATTGAGAGAATTATTGCTGATGTCATTAAAATAAGTGTGCCCACTACTCATAATGGCTTATTTTTATTTTGCACATGGTTTTCTAGAGAACAAAGCTGTGTATTTTGTGCTTTCAAATCATCCTGTATTGTCATCTGCAATGATCAACAGAGTGGTTTCTCTATCAACCAGATCATATTGTCATTTCTCAGTTCTCTTCATCTAGCTTCTGATGCGGGGATCCTATCAATATCATATAAAACATAATGAGAAGTAAGAGAACTATGTACCTGTAGGTGCAACACAGTAAGAGACCCCCAATCAGACCATAATTGTCAGGCAGTAAACAGAGCTTGAAAGAGAACGCCAAGAAGTTTTAGGTAGTTTGTGTATTTGAAACTGCCTTTCTCTCGAATGGGTTAATATCTTTTGTGCCGTTGGCTTCACAGCCTTTTCTTCCACTTCGTTTCAGGAAGAAAAAAAAAAGAGCCCGAGAGAATGCTGGGCTGTTCCCTTGGCGGCCTACACGGTGCTAACGAGGTGCCTTCGGGAAGGGGTAAGGCTGCTTTGTTGTCCTCTGCAGGCTCGCTCGGGCGATCGCCCCGCGGGCACTGTGTGGGGATTGTAGCCCGCAGCAGTGCGGGAGCTTGTCAGCCAGGTCTGGCTCCTGAATTTAAATAATCCCGACAAGCCACCCTCATCAAGTGACCTGCGTGGAGCAGGTGTAAAAATGAACCGGCTTTCTCATTCTCTTTTTTAATTGTCTTGCTTTTTAAAAGATGATGGCAAATGTAAACAAAATAAGTGGCTTTTAATAGCACGTTCTTAATCCTCCCTCCTCCCATTTGGAAGTCACTGATAGACCAGTTTGGTAAGCAAGGTGTATGCAGAGAGTTTTCCATGAGCCCCCAAATCAAAAGCTCCATGATTATCTTGTCAGGGTGCCATTTTGCGGTTCAGACAGAGGGAAGCTTCCACTAGTATCCATTGATTTTAATATTAAATAGTACTTATTATGTGATATGATTTCTCAATTTATTCACATCCCTACTGATGCTGCTGCTACTGGCTGAACACCAGCCAGCTCACCAGGCGACCAACTTATATATGTAGTTCCTATGTGTAACTTCATAAAGGAATCAGTAACTGACCTAAAAGGTTGGCATTTTCTGTTTGCTTTAAACCCTTTGACATTATTTCACCCAAGGCAAAGCCATAGGCTAAAAGCATTCCTTAAGGAATGGGAAAAAAATATGTCACAATAAACATCTTCCTTTTGAGTTATTACTACCTGGTGATGGAATAATGTTTCAAAGGTTTCAAGTGTAAAATACCCTGCAAGGTTTTCCCCTAGTGATCCTGCAATGAAGAGGGAACACTTTCTAGCCCGTAGGGTTGGTATGCAGTCAGTTTTCATTATGGGATATGAATGAAGCCAGTACATTTTATTTCATCAATAATATGACAGTTAAGTCATGTTTATCTATAGTCAAAAGACATGTAGGTATCATCCACGGCCTCCAGCTAGGCACACTTGGGGACTCACAGATGAAGAAGGTGACATTTCTATCCACACTCAGATCCTATCCATTTTGGGAGATAAGACAAAAATATAAAGTGGAACAATACGTCAAGTAAATAAATGCAAAAAAACAAAATAGGGGAATGCAAAGGAGAAAGGAGTCTTCTAGGAATTCTTTTCATAGTGTAAAATAAATTTAAAAAACTTTGTATCTTTAATTTTTAAAACTTAGATTAATGTCTAGTAAAAGATTATTAATTCTAGTTCATGAGGTTGTATCCTTTATTTAGTATCTTCTCTCCCCATCTCATATTTTTCATTGTATATGTCATATGAAGAATAATGTTTGATATCCACATGCATTGTTACTAAATTATTGTTAATAACGGTAAAATAATGATATTGGGTAATGTGTTTTTTTCTGCCCATTAGGTCACGCGTGTTAATCTGATAGACAGATAGATACAGAAATAAATCTTTTGCATCTATGTTAATTGGCTTTTATCTGTATTATCAGCTCCTGAGATAAATGTTTAAGTTGCCGCCTTTGGTAGGATTTCAATTTTGCCAAATTTGCTTTTGTATGTTTTGAGTAATAGTTATTAAATATTTAGAATATTTAGATTGTTTTTCCCTTGGTTTATTGAATTTTTTAAATCATTATATTGTGGCCTTTAAAAAGCACCATTTAGGCTTTTTGCCCAAACTCTGTTCTATTGATATTACCATAAGTTATTACCTTCCTTCCTTGGGTTAGATCTGACTGGTGTATCTTTTTTCATTCTCTTATTTTTCTGCATTTCTAACTGAATAACTATATTTTTGATGCGTCTCTTCATGTAGTTATATTTTTAAACTTCTGTTTCATAGTCATTTTCTCTTAACTGTAGTATGTAGACCATTTAAATTTATTGCAGTCATTGGTTTGGTTGAATTTATAGCTGCCATCTTATTTTTTGCTACTTGTTCCATCTGCTTCGTGTTTATTTTTTTATATCTTCTTTTTGTTCTTTTTTATTTTAAAAGTAATTCCTCTTATTCTTTTAGCAGTTATTCTATTGCTTGTGTTTTTGAAATACATATTTGTGTATACAGTTGTAGGTTGACACTGCTCTTAGCAATTGAAGATACTGTTTCATTGTCTTCTGGCTGAAGTTGTTGCTGTAAAGCAGTCAGAGCAGCTGCGGCTCCTTTAGCTCCTCTTGGGCTCCCCCTCCTGTAGTCTCCTTTCCCCAGCACGTACCTGGAGCCCCCAGCTCTGGTCAGAGGGGAGTCAGGGAAATGGGAGAGTTGTTTCTTACTCCCACCTATTATACTAGGTTGTAGCCATTGAAGCCAGGACCGGGGGTGGGGGTCTTCATTGGACCTCCCTCTCGTGTGGACCTGCAGCCTTGCCCTGTGTCCCCCACCCGTCTTGTCCACCCTGTTGAGCGGTGCTTGCGGGATGAATGTGCTGAGGCGCTCAGGGTACCTCCCAGGGTTCTTCCCACACAGCCGCTGGTCTATGAATTTGGTGCTTGTTCAAGAATTTGATGCCTTTCAGAAGGCTTTTTTGTTTCTTATTTTATATGCAGCATTTCTTAGCTGCTTTTAGAGGGATAGAGTTGTCCAGATAATCTAGCTCACTATATTGTAAGAAATAAAAATCCTATTATCTTGATTGCATGAGTTACTGAAACAATAAACTATGTAAAATAAACTCCAGGTACCTCGAAGCCTTAGAAGAAAGATCTTAGTTATGCTAAATCTACAAAGGCGAAAATAACTAATGTCAGTATTTTAGATGTTAATTTTGTTATTCTTTTTTGGAAAAGTAGGCATATATAGATTATAATTATATTGTCAGAAAAACTTCTTGTTTTAAAGACTGCCTGCAATACATTAGATCTACTTAATACTGTTAAATCATAGTACAGCTATTCATTAAAAGCCTAATTATCATTGGCTTATTGCATAGGACCATTTTCTAATCATCATAGCTTTTATCCTCATGTTATGATGAAGTAGGTCTTTGATTTAAATGACAGGTATTAGTTCAGTTCAGTTATCCCTTCTGAAGAGTTAATTAAGCAGAAAATAGCACCAGCCTTAGTGCTTGTGTGGTGTCCCACAGGGAGTCCCAGGGGGCTGGGGCAGCTCATTTCTGGGGTGGCCGGCAGGGTCGGCCTGACAGTCTCCTGAGTTTGTGGAATGCTGGGATGGCACATGGCCCCTTTCCAGCCTAGGCGCTAACATGGCTGTGGTTTTCTGGTACTAGGAAGGAGTGCTCTAGGAGTAGACTGACAATTGTGATGTAAAGCACCTGTTAAGGTTTGGGAGCCGTCCTGCATCGTAGCACCCTTCCCCTACATTCAGGGGAAATGTTTCAGAACCTCAGGAGAGCCGAGACAAAGAGCGAGGCCCATGGGACGAAAATGGCATGTGTATGTAACGAGAGCCGGGTGGAGCACATAGTGCGTATCTATGGCAAACAGGCTTCCTTAACGTGAACTCCCACGTTAGGGAATCTCAGCACTGCCCCAGGCGCAGCAAAACTCCCCCGAGGCCCTCTCCAGGGACTTAGGAGGGGTGGGGGGTGGGTAAGCAGACAACTTCGGTCGGTGGGCCTGTGCTCAGGGGAAAGCGGGAGGAGTTGAGTTGAGCTCTTAGCACGCCCAGTTTATTCTTAGCAAATTTGCCAGCTAGATGAAGCATTTTATTGCCCCTTGGGTAGAGTTGGGGAGAGGAACACAGAGGTGAGAGGGTTACATTAATGTATCCGAGCTGCATGGAAGGAAACCTCATGAATAGGGAGGAAGCCTTCTCTCCAATACTCATTCTGAGAAGTGAAATATGTCCAAGTTTGAGGAAGTTCAGGCATCTTTGAAATTTCTTTTCTAGCAGGCTTACAATTCATGCTATGTGATATTAATAATAACAGGAAGAAAAGCTAACTCATTGGAAATTTACTACTTTTTATGACCTAGATTAAGTATTCATGTATGTTGTCTCATTTAATTTTCAAACTGCTTGTGTTTTATTATCTCTGTTTTATAGATGATGAAGCTGAGGCACAGAGATGAAAATGCCCAGGGATATGTAGCTGGTAGAGTGTAAAACTATGGCTTGAATACAGATGTAATTCAATGTTTTCTTATTTTTAAAAAAATACTTTTTAATGGAAAATATATAATTTTGGGTTGAAAAGTAATACAAACATACTGTAACAATCCAAACAATGTACAAATGTCTGAAGTAGAATTAATGGACCCCCTCAAAACCCCCACTGATTGTAATCACAATTAACAGAGTATTGTATATCTTTCTATGCCATTCCTTTACTAGTATATTTATATATGCATATTTTTGTTATACAAACATGAGATTACATTATACATATGATGCTTTAACATATTTTTAAATATTTTAAAAAAGATTTTATTTATTTTTAGAAGGGGAAGAAAGGGAGAGAGGGAGAGAAACATCAATGTGTGGTTGCCTCTTGCACGCCCCCTACTGGAGACCTAGCCCGCAACCCAGGCATGTGCCCTGACTGGGAATCGAATCGGCGATCCTTTGGTTTGCAGGCCAACCCTCAGTCCACTGAGCCACACCAGCTAGGGCTACTTTTAAATATTTTTGATTGCTATATCGCATATAAAATGCTCAGATATTTTGTGTGTATGTATTGCGTATATTTTCTCCCAGCCTAAGACACTGTGAGGCTTAATGGTGTTATTATGAGCAAAAATTTACAATTTTGATGGAGTTTAATTTAACAATTTTTTTTCTGTATTCTTTGTGCCTTTTTTTACCCCCAAGAAATCTTGGCCTACTTCAGGATAGTCAAGGTATTCTTTATGATCCTTTCCAGAAGATTTTTGGGTCTAGCTTTTACATTGAAGTCTGTGATTCATCTCAAGTTAATCTGTGAATATAGAGTTTACTCAGACGTGTCCTATGGTCCAGAATGTAGTCTAACATGGTAATATTTCATGTGATCTTGAAAAGAATGTATTTTCTACTTTTTTTAAAAAATAGTCTTAAATATCAAAATGGGTTGATAGTGTTATCCTGACTTTCTGGCTACTTGTTTTGTCAGTTATTAAGAAAGTATATTGAATTTCCCAACTAAAATTGTTTATTCTCTCAATTTGGTCAATTTCTGATATTTTGAAGTCCTGTTATTAGGGACATAAATATCCAGGCTAGTTATTATCTTGTTGAATGACTCTTCTACCATTGTGAAATGACCATTATTCCTGAAGCTGTTCTTCGCTTTAAAGTCTGCTTTTCTGAAGTCATACAGCCGCTGTAGTTTTCTTTTGATACATGTTAGTGTGGTACATCATTGTTCATTCTTATACTTTTAACTTATCTGTGAATTTCTATGTAAGGGTTTTCTTGCAAACAGCTTACATTGGAGTCTTGCTTTAAAAAAAATCTACTTTGAGACTGTTTGCCTTTTAATTGGTGTATATATTTATTGTGGTTGTTGTGATGGTTGGGTTTAAATCTCTAGTCTTGTGATTTGTGTTCTGTGCCATTCTGTGCCGTTCCTTTACTAGTATATTTATATATGCATATTTTTGTTATACAAACGTGAGATTACATTATACACATGATGCTTTCACATATTTTTAAATATTTTAAAAAATATTTATTTTTAGAGAGGAGAAGGGAGGGAGTTGTGTCGTCTTTTCTTGTGTGTTCTTTTTCTCTTTTCCTGCCTTTTAGATTAATGGACTTTTAATGACTCAACTTTATCTCCTTTATGAAATTATAATTTTTCATAGTACATATCTCTTATATCACAGTTAACCTTTGGGTAATGCTGTATGGATTCATATATAATATACAAGAACCTTTAAAAACAACCTTACACCAGAATTTACTGTGTATGCTAATTCATATGCACATGTGCTATATGAGAACCTACACCATGCCCTTCCAGCCTTTCTATTATTGTACATTTTACTTCTACATGTTTTTGTTTTGTTTTTGGTATTAGTGAGATCTAATCAATAAATAAAATTGTAAGATATTTAAAGGGTATGAAATGATGATTTGTTGTGTGTGCGTGTGTATGTGTGTGTGTATGTGTGTGTATATATGTGTGTGTATATATGTGGTTAACTCCTCCATTGAGTTAATTAACACTCAATCACCTGACATGTTTACCTTTATTTGGTGAGAACCTTTAAATTCTATTCTTTTAGCAACTTTGAATTGTTCAGTCTTATCATCTATAGTCACCATATTTTACACTAGATCCTCAGACCTTATTCAGTCTTGCAGCTGAGATTTTGTAACCTTTTACCAACCTCTCCCTATTTCCCCACCTTTACTTTTGATTTTGAAAGCTGTTACTTACCGGCACCCCCTTCTCCCTCCTGCCCTTGGGTGCTTCAAACTTGTTGTTCCACTGTGTCCTGGCTCTCTTTAGTTCCTGATAAGAAGTCTCCTGCCATCCTTATTGCTGTTCCTTGCTACATAATGAGTCTTTTTTTTTTCTAGCTGCTTTTAAGGTTTCATTTTATTACTGGTTTTTAGCAATTTGGTTATGATTTGCCTTGGTGTGATTTTTCTTTGTTTCTTCTGCTTGCATTCATTGAGTTTCTTAGATTTAGGGTTTTTATGCATTTGGGAATTTTTCAGCCAGTATTTTCTTCAAACAAGTATATTTTTCTGCCACCCTTCTGCTCCTCCCCACCACACACACTCTGCTGGGATTCTCATTGCACATGCATGAGGTCGTTTGAAGTTGTTCCCTGGTGTACTGATGCTCTGTTCCATTTTTTTCAATCTCATTACTCTCTGTGTTTATTTTGGATACTTTTTATTGATTATTGCTATGTTTTCCAGTGCACTAATCATTTACTCTGCAGAGTCTAATCTGTTAATCCCGTCTAGTATATTTTTCATATAGAAAGTTGTCTTGTTTATCTCTAGCCTTTTGATTTGGGTCATTTTTGTGTCTTGTCTTTATCTCTTTATCATTGAATATATGGACTATTATATATGGACTATATATTTATAATGACCATTTTAATACATTTTACTTCTAATTCTAGCATGTGTCATTTCTGTTGATTGGATTTTCTTATTCTTATGAGGCATATTTTCCTGGTTTTTTGGCATGTTTGCTAATATTTAATTGGATTTCAGACATTGTGATTTTTATATTGTTGGGTGCTGGAGTTTTCCTGAATTCTTTTAAGTACCTTTGTCCTTTTTCTTGCACTCATCTGAGTTATTGTAAACAGTTTCTTTTTGAGGCTGGATTTTAAGCGTCGTTAGGACAGCCCAGAACAGCCTTTAGAGTTAGTTTGATCACACCACTGAAACTATATCTGTTTTAGGATTTTCGCGTACTGCCCCATATTTAGGTGGTCTTTGGCCAATTGGTGCACTAATTATTCCTAGCATGAGTGATTTCTTAGGATTGTATTGCCTCCTCCTTATGACTTTAAAATTATCTTCCAATTTTGTTATGCTTGTATTGGCTATTTTCCATATTATTTCAGCCTTCTTATTAAAATATAATTATATTATGCCAGGTTATTGGTAATAGTTGCACAATAGCCTGAAAGAATAATCACACTTTCTAAAATATCTAACACGTCCATGGGCAGGTACTATCCTCCCGGTATCAGGCCTTTGTTTGCAATAGTTATGAAAAAAATGGCATGTATGTTTCTCATACTAAATCATACCCTTTTAATCTTCTCCTTGTTCTCTGCTCTCTCAATCTCTAGGAAGAACGTGTTGTGAATCACATGGCAGCAAAGATTGTTGAAAACGTCTGCACTACCTTTTCTGCTCAGGCCCAGGGCTTTATAACAGGAGAAATTGGACCTGTTTTATGGTACCTGTTTAAACATTCCACTGTGGATTCTCTTAGGATAACAGCAATATCGGTAAGATAGAGCACCTTTTGGGGATATATTTGCATATATTGAAACACCATATTTGCACAAGCTGTGCCAGAAATAGAGTTAATTTCATTGAATAGGTAGGAAACAAATCTCAGAGGACTCGTTGGCGAGAACAATAACCTGATTTTCTCCTGAAGTAGAAATTTCAAAATGGGCTGGAAAACCCTGGCGCTGTCAGGAAATTCTGTGAGGACCTTGTGGGACCATGAGACTGTGGCTTTATAATTACTCGGAGGTGATAATGGGGAGACTGTGGTAGTGGATCGGGCACAGGATTTGGTTTGGTATATTTTTACTGCTCCCTGACTTCCTTGCGTGCTCCCTCTTTCAGGTTTTACATTAAATGGGTCTGTCATCGGGTTCAAACGAATTCACTTTCAGGCATCTGTGGTTTTTCAGGCTTTTTGATTGGTGGTCTGCTACTTTGCTCACCTGGTCATAATAGCTTGGTATAAAGGGTAATTATGCATGAAGATGTGTTAACATGATTGTATCAGATTAATCGTCTTTTGAACCAGTACAACCCTTTCTCATATAATTTGTTGAAATACTCTTTTTGATCTCTGATCTCAATTGAACTCTCTGCATTATATGGTGATGTCACTGTATTGTTCTTGTTTGCTCATTTTGGCACTTCTCATGGTGGCAGTTTCCTAACTTCCCTCTTTCCTTAAATCTCCAATTCCACATTTTCCTCCGGCCTCCTCAGTAAGTGTCTTTCCCGCATGCTTCCTGGAGAAAAACGATATCACTCAATGGGCATTATCCATTCTTACACTTGCCCATCAGTAGATGCACTGACATCCACACCTACCCTCTCTCAGTTCTTTCCCTCCAGTTTCAACCCATTAAGCATCTCCTCTCCTGTCAGAGATAGACCTCTCTTGTTTCTCTAGACCTTCTTCCTGTTCCCTTTTTTGGAAATTTAACTCAAATGGTTATTTTTGTTCTTTCCTAAATCTTTAACCTGTACGTACCTTCTAGAGCCTTCTGATCAGCATTCAGGTTTTCTACACACACCGGCCCCCACACACCCCCTCCCCCGCCAAAAGGACTAGAGGCTGTGTGTCACCCTTCACAGCCATATTTGTTTATAAAGCGTTATTGTCACAAATTATTGCTTATTTCTGGCCCATTTCCTCTTCAAACCAATCTGGTGTCTGTCCTAAAACTGCCACTGAAGCTGATCTTGTTGTGATCTATAATGACTTCTATGTTGCCAAATCCTGTGGATATTTATGGATATGTTTCAGCTGTTATCTTAAATTTACCTAAGTCATTTTGAAGATCAAGGGCTTAACAATCTTGCTCACTTTGAATGTCATTAAGTAAAGGATATGTAGCATGCATTGTACACACACCCCCCCTCTGCTTCAGGAGCCACATGATTTCAAAATTACAAAACCTAACTATGGCGTGAGTAAGTACGGAGAAACCGTCAGAGTGCGTTAGTTACAAAGTGTATACACGTGAACTTTCTCTGGGCCTCTTTGAATCACATCTTAAGGCATCCATTTTAATCCTGGGCCTTCAAAACACAAACAAACCAACCTGGCTTGCTTTAATTGGGTTAATGTTCTCATATTTATCTTTATATCAGCATGTTTTTTTTTTTTTCTTGACAAAGTTTTTTTCCAGTTGTGCCCACCAAAGTCTTGTACTTTCTAGCCCTTTCTTCATCTGACATATTAAGCTTCACTTTTTCATCTTGGGCTACTTGTATTTTGCTCTTAGCATTCATCTAAATAATTAATTTTTTACTGAAATTTTGCCAGTTGTCCCCCAAAGGTCTTTTTTTTTTTTTCTTTTCTGCCCCAGGATCCTAATTGGTAGCATGTGTTAGGTATTGTTCTTCTGTGTTTTTAGTGTCTTCCATTATGAAACAGTTCCTTAGCCTTTCTTTGTACTTCATGTCATTTACAATTCTAAAGAATACAGGGCTTTTGCCCTGGCTGATGTGGCTCTGTGGATTGAGTGCCAGCTTGTGAACTGAAGGCTCAACGGTTCGATTCCCAGTCAGGGCACATGCCTGGGTCGCAGGCCCGGTCCCTGGTGGGGGACCTGCAAGAGGGAACCACACAGATATTTCTCTCCCTCAATTTCTCCCTCCTTTCCCCTCTTTAAAAATAAATAAATAAAATCTTTTAAAAAAAAGTATTGAAAAAAGAATATAGGGCTTTTATTTTGTAGGGTGGGCCTCACTCTGGCCCTGTCTGGTACATCATCATGAGGCCACCTTAGCACCATGAGGAGTCCTACCTGTGCCAGATGCCTCTGTGATGGTTGCCCTGTGGTGACCATCATTCTCTTTCTATAGTAGCTTGGCAAATATTTTCCATAAAGGGCCTGATAATAAATACCTTGCATTTTGTAGGCTAAATACAGTCTCTGTGGCATCTTCTTTTTGTTTGTTTGGTTTTCTGCAACCCTTTGAAAATGTTAAAACCATTCTTATACAGCTCACAAGCTGTACAGAAACGGGCCTTTGGTATTGGCTGGAATTTGATCATGGGAAGCCCTTCCCTTCTCGCACATGCGTGTATGTATTTATATCATTATGGTCATGGATGACTGCTTTATCCAATGGTTTGTAGTGTGATACTACTGCTATTATGATTTATTGTTTGGATACCCAAGTCATCCCAGATTTGGCCAGTGTGCTCCCTCCGAGCTGGCTTCTGTGTTCTGTTGGCCTATTTCTATCACTGTTTGAGCTTTTCCTTACTCTTTGACACCATGTAATGTTCTGGGCTAATTTTGTACTTTCTTTCAGCTAGGCCTGGAACCCATCCTGTCCCCAAGGAGCCTTTGGTATTTAGAAACCACGATCTGGCTATTCTTTGTGCTTACTGCTGTGGGTGTCATTGTACCTAGGCCTTCTTAATATAGAACTAGAGAAAACCATGTACTTATATACAGGTGACTGTACATATTTGGAACAGGACTCATGCATTCACATTGATACTCCCAACTTCAATCCAGTACCTTAGGGTTATTTCTAGCCTTTCTTTCTGTGTTTCTAAATCCCTTTGCCAACAAAGAGAAACCTGGCTCCCATTATTCTCAATATATTTACTGATTTTTTTTTCCCCATCAATTAATTATTTATTCAGTGTGGCCAACTCCACCCACTCTGGCTGCCGCCTCGTGTCATCCGCCACCTCCCAGCCACGACCACTCTGCTTCCTTCGTCACTTGGGCTCAAGTGTTCCCTTTCCTCTTGCCTCCCCTTTTCCTCAGACTCTGACATGTGCACCTCGGGAGGGGAAGCTAAGACAACATGGATTCAGGAAAATGAAGGGTTAGGTGTCATTTCGATACTTTCCTTTCCCTTACCTCCTTCCACGTCACTGTTTCCATCCAGCTAATTAGCCTGTCCTGTGATTCTAATTCACGAGCGTCTCTCAGATCCATCTGCCTCTCTGCGGCTCTGTTTCTGCCCCCACAATCCAGGAGGCTACCGCCACCTGTCACTTGGGCCACTGGAGCGGCCCCCTAATTGGTCTTCCCATGGCCGGTTTGATGCTCCACTAACTCTGTTCTCCACACAGACTGAGTGTCACCAAATCACATCTTCTCTCTCCGCTCTGCTGAAACTTTTCAACAGCTTTCCACCATTTTCCTTAAAAGATTATTAATATTTTATGTAAAGTACTAGACAGAAGGTAAGGACTGGCTGGTGCTTTCAGTTTTAGGTAATATTTAGTGCTTAAAGCAGGTAACACATTTTGCATATTACGTTCGTTAGGTTAGCTTATTTTATTATAATTCCTTATAGACTGTAAACGCCTGGAAAGTCGGGACCAGGTTTTGCTCATCTATGAAACTGAAGCCAGGTCTTTTGATGGCAAAGTTAGGCCTTGTCCTGAAAAGGTTGAGAAGGAGCCTCCTTTTTCACATGATGAGTAGAGGCAGGCAGTTGATAACGTTAAAGATCCCTGTTTACTGGGATGCAGGGAAAAGCAAGCCACAAGTGGAATGTGGAATACAGTATAAGATTATCGTTTGGGGATCATAAAACAAAGCTATTTTAACATCATAACCCTAAGAAAGTTGTACCTGCCCTGTAAGCAGATGTATGTGAAGGTTTATCAAATAGTGAGGTTACAGAAGCTGAAAATATCCCTTCTGAAGTCACTTCACACGCATTCTCGGCAGGGATGACTATGGCTCCCCTCCCAGCATGCGTTCTGGAGCGGAACTTCCTTCTCACTTTCTTTGCCCATATTTATTGCTCAGGCATGTGCCCTGGAGGTTAATGTACCCATTTGGTGATAAAGATCAGAATTAATTGATTAATTATCTATAGTAGACATACAATATTGTATTAGTTTCAGGTGTACAACATAGTGATCAGACATTTATATACCTTACAAAGTGATCTTTGTGATAAGTTTGGAGTTCTTCACACGACCTTCAAGATCTTGGGTGATGTGGTGCCTGCCTGCCTCGTTTTTCACATCTCATAATGCTCATTCCCTCACTCACTGCTTCAACCACACTTACGGTCGGACATTTTCTAGAATTTCTGGAACCTAAGCACTTTGCCGCCTCAGCTCCTTTTCCCTATTGTTCACGGTGCCTGGGATGCTGTCTGTTGGCTTTTCGCCTGGCGGAGTCCTCATCGTTCAGGCCTCAGCTTAAATGTCACCTCAGGTGTCCTCTGTTAGGACACCCTGGCCCCCCTTATCTCATTGTGTTTTCTGTCATCACCATGAACACAGCTGAGCTGATGTCATTTATGACTCCGCACACTTTTTCCCACTGAGTGTCAGTTGCAGGAAGGGAGGAGCCCAGTTCCTCTCGTCCCCTCTGAGCACACGCGGCGGGTGCTCGGTAGACAGCTATGGGCCAGGTGACCGTATGAGCACTGGCCGCAGGACAGCGTGGCTTAGTGTCCAGGCACCAGCCTGCCCCTTGTCCCACTGGTAATAGTCTGAGTCTGCTGCCCTGTCACTCATTTTCTGACTCATTTGTCCTCGTCATCTCTTGGCCCCCCTGATTACCCTCCATGTGGTCCCCAGACCTGCGGCACGCACAACACCTGGGAACTTGTTGGAAATAGAGGTTTTGGGGCCCTAACTGTGACCTGCTGAATCAGAATCTCTGAGCAGGGTAGGGGGGCGGTCGGGGCAGAGGTGCAGTAGCCTGCATTTGGGCAAGTCTTCAGGTGGTTCCAATGCCTGCCAAGGTGGAGAACCCCTGCGCTAGACCTTGGGGCCCTAGGAAAACCGCCGCATGGCTTGGAGGGAAAGGCGGCTGATTTGTCCCTCCCACTCAGGAGTGGCCTCCGTCACTGAGGGAATGGTATTTGGAGGGGTGGACCTGACTTGGGAAAGGTATTGGGTGGATGAAACAAAGTTCCTAGAATTGTTAGGGTCACAGGGAATCTCGGTGAACCATGGTGGGGACCGGAGGGATCTGTAGAAGTAGATTGAGTGAACTGGCTCCTACCAGGGAGAGGACCGGGTAGTCACACTTGCTGTGGTGCTGAGCTGGAGGGTGTGGGAATGGAACAATTTTGCAGGGTAAGTGGGAGCTTTTTAAGCAGCGAAAATTACTTCCTCTTCTCTTTCCACTCCCTGCCTCTATTCTTCTGTGGCTAAAAATCTCTCGGGTTGGATGAGAATGAGTGTAGTTTGAAAAAGCTCCCAATGTAATTTTGATATGACATCAAAAAATCATTCAAAAGACAAAAAAAGCAATGATTCTTAAATCTCTTATTCTGTGGTGATTCTGTTCATGTTGCTAATTGATATACCGCCTTCTCTTTGAATTAGTCCGTTTCTTGGAAGGCTTTATCAAGTAGACGGTCAGAAATTCTGGAGGTAATGCAGTGTTCTTTTCGAAACATTTTGAAGTGAATTTCGAACTGGAATTATTCTTCCCAGTTTTATTTAGGATGTAATTTTTAAAAAGTAAATACTTCAAAACCAAATCACTGAAAATCAGACTTGAGATTTGATTTTTTTTTTAATTCAAAAAATAGAAGCACTAATGTATGTTTAAGCCTCCGTGAACTCCCATTGGGTTTGATACCCAGAGTGACCAGTTAAATGGAAAGTCTTAGGTTTTTGAGCAGCATTCTGAAGATCAAGCCATTCCAGTTGCCCTTATATTGCTTTGAATACACTTCATAGTAGTCTTGACAGGTCTTTCATCACGAAACGTTCCCAGCGTGATCGGGTAGGGATTTTATATTGCTCGAAAGTCATTTTTGCTTATGAGACTTACTGTTTCCCTGTATTGAAGTCCTTGTTGGGAGACTCTGTAATTTGCTTGGAAAGTTCTGATTGTAGCCTGATGTTTAAGGACTCCATTTAAAATGTTATTTTTAAATCCTTGGATTATTAAAACAAATAAATAATTGTGTTTTGATTTTATAGACAACAATTTTCTTAGATATATTCCCAATGAGATTTTAAAATTTTCACTTTCAGAACCAGATTGTTTTTGGTGAATTTATTTTTCATGTTTCTGTTTCCAGATACTAGCTGCTACTTTTCTATTGAAACTTACACAATTTTGGTTTTAGACTTGAAGAACCCGACTTCCATAGCTTCTAAACCTTGATATCTAACTTATCCATCCACAACTCCCTTGGAAGAAAGAGGAGCGACTGAAATTTGAAAGTTGAAAGTTATTTGAAAGCTGTTCAAAGAAGAGCTTATCTCATGGAATTTCATTCAGATAGGACTACCTGTACATGAATACACATTTCTCGTATCAGTTAGAAATGGAGTCAGTGATTATTTTTTCAGCTTCTTTGAGATATAACTAACATACAACATCGTGTAAGTTTAGGCGTATAACATGTCGACGTGGTACTTCTCCACTGCAATATGATGACCGCCGTAGCGTTAGCTGATACCTGCGTCACGTCACGTCACGTCACGTCACGTCACATCACATCACATCACATCACTGTCATTTCTTTTCTTGTGGCCAACGGTTAAGATCTGCTGTCTTTGCAACCTTCAAGTATGTACTACGGTATTATTAACTAAGATCCCATAACCTACATTACATTCCCAGGTCTTACCTTACAGCTGAAAGTTCGTGCCATCTGACCGCCCTCTCCCCATTTCCCTCTCCCTCTCGCCCCTAACAACCACCATTCTAACCTCTGTTCCTTGAGTTGAGTTTTTTAAGATTCCACATACAAGTGATTTCTTACAGTGTTTGTCTTTCTCTGCCTGACTTATTTCACTTGGCATGATGCCCTCAAGGCCCCCTCCATGTTGTCACAAATGGCAGGGCTTGCTTCTTTCTCATGGCCGAATAACATTCTATTGCATTTATTCTGCGCGTATTCATCTGTTGCTGGTTGCTCAGGTGGTTTCCCTACCTTGGCGATTATGAATAAATGCTGTAATGAACGTGGGGTATCAGTATAAGATCCTGTTGTCATTTGTGAATGGTTATTAAGGCAAGACTTTTATAAGTGTCCCATAGGATAATTAGTTCCATGAGGAAAGGGACACTTTTTCTTTTTTAGGGAACCGTATATATTTAATACTTTGCAGATGTTCCTTTTTCAGTGTATTTGTTTACTTAGTAATTTCAGAAATGATAGTAAATATATACACTATTAATAAAGTAAGCTTTTCCTGTGTTTATTTCCATGTAGTAATTTCATTTTTTTGTTTAAGACTTTTATTTCAGTGAAATCCCATCAAATATTATCTCACAGAAAGAGTTTGAAATAGCCACCACTCTTTAATTTTTATACAGTAAAAACATAGAGAAAAATATTGAACCTTAAGATGTCTCATACAGTCATGACATTGGGATGTAATTAATATTCTAATAAAATAATATGCATTTATTTGAAAAACTTGAACAGCACAGACATAAAAGATTGAAGACTCTGCCTTGTCCTTTTTCTGCCTCTCCCCTCTCTCTCTCTCACTCCGGGAGACAGCGCTTGGAGAGGGTCCCTCTAGATTTTCATTGTTTCTCTGTGTGGTACCTTTCCCTTTCTGGTTACATATAATAAGGCCACATTAACATTTCCTACAGATTGGGAATAAGCTTCAGCATACAAGAAGTACATTTACTTTGAAGGTTTCCTTTTGGTGGCAGAGTGACTTCATACCCATCAATACCTGTTTTCCTTATTTTATCAATAGGAATAACTTTTAAGGGAAGTTCATTTTTAAGATAGAGAAATGTTTAATTTTTTCCTGAGATGTTCAAGAAAATGAAAATATTTTTCAAAGCCTTTACCTTTTCTCTTCTTCCCTCCTGCCTTCCTTTCCTTTGACATGATAATATTTCTAATGATTTATCTTGTACTTGCTCTTTTCATTATTAATCAAGGTTTTAAATCTGTTTCACACACCCATCAGGAAGGAGGTTATGTGACATTCATGATAATGGATGTTATTGTAAAACTATTTCTGGCTTAAGTTTGTTTCTCTTTTTTGAAGTCTCCCGTGTACACATGGAATAGGACCATCCCTGTCTTTTGCTTAAAACTTTTGAAGTCGTCCCTTTGCGCATGGCAGCGGTTTTCAACCGTTTTTATCTGCCGGCACATGTAAACTAATTACTAAAATTCTGCGGCACACCGAAAATATACTTTTTGGTCATCTGACAAAAAGAAAAAATAGGTATAACTTTGACTCATTCACATGGAATAGCTATTGTTGCCTTGGCTGTTGTCCCTTTTTTACTTGACAATCAAAGGGAAAAGAGGTCAGTGCCACTGACTAAATAGTCAGGGGCTGCGTGTTTTAAAAATTCTTGTGGCACGTGGATTGAAAGTTGCAGTCTTATGGCATAAAATTCAAAGGTCCTAGCAGGGTAGACCATCCCTGGCTTCTGCCTCCTTTTAGAGATGGCTCATTTCTCCTCTTCCCTCCCCTCTGCTTCTGCCCCTCCATCTGGAGTGCACTCTGCTTGCACCAGACAGCTTGCCTGTCCTGCCCCGGGCTCTGCGTCTTCCTGTCACCACGCGGATCCTTGTTCTCTCTCCTGGGCCAGAATCCTCTTGGCTTGCTTTCCCACCCACCCATTTCCCGCTTCCTCTTCAGCAACTGGCTCCGCATCATCTTCACCAGGCAGCTCTGGTTTCCCTGCTTTTCCTGCCTTTCCAAGCATCATTACTGAGCCCGCTGCTATCGCAACACATCATTAAATTCTATTTATTAATGACAAATTTTATCTCTCATAGTTCATGAGCAATTTAGGAAAAGCTCAGTGGTCTCATTACTTCAGGTTGAATTCCAGCTTTGTCACTTACTAATTATATATTTTTGGGCAAATTACTTAAATATTTTATGCCATCTATAAAATGGTGTTAATAATAATACCTTACTTTCATATTGTTGAGAGAATTAAATAAGATAGCCTTCAGATATTCTCAGTGTTCTTTACATGCTAAACAGTGTTAGATCTATACTTTTATGTCTATTTTCCCAGCCCTTAGTGTCTACATGAAGGAGGTACTTCATGATGTTTTTTATTACTTAAAGGGATGTTTTTCTATCTAGACTTAGGAATTAGTTTATCATTTTAGTTAGCTCATCATAATTTATATGGCTATTATTGTAACAGTTTCTAATGTTATAAAACAATGTTAGTTTTCATTAGCAGCTGGATTATTGTTTTATTTTTAAATGTGTTGAAATTTTCCAACTTTCTTAAGCCACAATAAGGGGTGAAGGAGCGAGGCAAGCACCTTCTACTCGCTGTGCCTTTGCAGGGCCTGGCCGGTGCACGTGGAGGCAGTTGTCTGACAGATCTGTCCCCCTGTCGCGCAGGCCTTGTGCAGGATCACTCGCCACTCGCCGACTGCCTTCCAGAATGTTATTGAGAAGGTGGGCCTGAATTCAGTCGTCAACTCCCTGGCTTCCGCCATCTGCCGCGTTCAACAGTACATGTTGACCTTATTCACCGCCATGTTGTCCTGTGGGATTCATCTTCAGAGACTGATCCAAGAAAAGGTTTGGCCTAGATTTCACCTGTTACTCTACTTTATAAGTCGTTTTCTTCTGCACTTGTGGTGGATAAGTAATATCACCTGGGTAGAATTACTCTTCGTCTCAAGGGACCTTTTTAAACTTTGCCAAGCCTATGTACCATAGGCCATTCATCGGCACACGTTATGAGAGCCTTTGAGTGGTTAAAATAGAATTCAGTAAATGGCTCTGCCTGTTTGTGCTGTGTTAGTAATGAAAAGTTAGAAAGTTAGTCCTTCCTGCGTGCTAGTATTTCCTGTGCCGCCGCCTCCTCAGCCCCCACCTCTTTCCCCATGTCCTTTGCCTGCCTTAGGAGGGGTCCCTTTATATTCTGACTCATTTTTACTCCTTTCCTTGTCTAATACTCTGTCAATGCCAGTCCCCTCTAGAGCTCCCTTCCTCCTGATTTTAGCCCCCTTTTAACGAGTCTTCTCTAGTCCTTGCTGAAGAAGGGTCCCTGGGCCAGACCATTGGCGTCTCTTGGGAGGGGGCTGGAGATGCAGACCCTCCAGTCTCCCCCAAGACCTGCCAACTTAGAATGGACATTTTAATGAGGTTTCTGGGCGATTGGTGTTAACTTGAGGGTTTGAGAAGCCCTGTCTAGAGTATTAGTGCTCAGTGAGGTGTCAATAAGCGAAAAAGGGGACCGTGGTTATTCATACATTTGGAAACTAGTGAGTTAAAGAGACGCTTTCGGTTGTACAGACTTTCCCATTTTTTCCTATGCTCATGTGCATTATGAATCTTCATGCAGGGAGTGGAGTGTGCAGTTTTTAAACTTAGTGGGCCCATTATTATTTTTTGGAGGAGAGCCTGCCAAACTGGAATTGTATAGAACATGGTAAGGTGACGTGGCTAAGCATAGAATGGAGTCACTTAACTAGGTATTTGCTGTGGTCCCTGTGCATTGACTGCAATACTTTGAATGTTGGTTTTTATACTAAAAGTTACAATGTCAGGAATTGCTATTAATAATGGTCAGGTTCACATAGTAAGCTTGGCCTGTGGAAGCCCAAATGGAGAGCAAGCCACTTCCTGCCTTTAATTAGTCTGGTTTAGACTCTGCTAAGAAATGTGAGCCTCAGAGGAATAAATTTTCCAACAGTCTGTATATTTAATTTTTGCTACTAAACTTTCCAAGGCATTACTGTTGTCATTATATTAGGACCAAGTACCACTTGAGTGGTTTTACTGTGTATATTATAATAATAGAGGCTGAGAGTTTTAGCAGTTGTTTTTTTTTTTTTCCCACCTGAGCACAGGTATAAATTTAGTTCAAATATGATATTTCACAAAGCTAGTAAAATAAGAACTTGATAGTTGGGCTTCCCTGAGGTGTGAGATGTGTTGGGAGATCTGGGAAGAGAAGGGCATCCAGTGAAGCCGTACGCAGGCAAAACTGATAACTTATTATATAATTTTCACTTTCTTGGTGCTGTTATGATTCAACTCTTCTCCCACTATTGATGCAGTAAACATCCTGTTCCGTACACCTTTGTGTTCACCTCTCATAGGGAGGGTACCACAGGTGCTTTGTGCATGCGGAAGGCTCTGCATAAATAATGCTAGGCTGTTCTCTAGAAAGGTGGCAGATGAGGGTACCATTTACTTGTAATTTAACCAGCGGTTATTAAGACACAGGCTATACCTCTCTTATAATAAAACTTAGAGTTTAGGATTATTTAATTAGCAGCATACTTTATGTTTTCATAGTTATTTGCAGTTAGTAATGAATCTCCACTTGAAATATGTAACTGTAGCTGTATTTTCATCTTAAACTAGATTAACTATGGTATTATTATTCCCTTCTGAATCAGGTTCTTGTTCTTGAGTGGTTATTGCTGTACTGAATTTGTCGTGCGTATAGATGTACACATACACATACAGTCACTTATTTTCTCCTCTCTGCTGCCACACACATGTGCTATTAGAATCTTTTTACAGAAATGGGATTAATTGTATATTTTTTGGTGATCTGTATTTTTCCTATTCAGGTATATGTTTGTAACTTTTATGAATTTTGTGTTTGAATAAGCTAAAGCCAAGTAATGAGAATAAGAGTGACAGTAGAGTATGTTGTACTAAACCTGTAGTGACATGCGCATACAGATATATTAATGTACAAGTTCATATATGTAAATCTGTACGTGTGTGTATAAACGTATATAGGGAGAAGGGAAAAGCATATCTGAATTACACAGTTGCTGTGCAAATAAGTCACTGGTGTTGCATAAAAAGAAACTTATGTTAAAAACTCAGTGCCAGCCCTGGCTGGTGTGGCTTAGTGGATTGAGTGCAGGCCTATGAACTGAAAGGTTGTCAGTTCGATTCCCAGTCAAGGCACATGCCTGGGTTGTGGGCCAGGTACCCAGTTGCGGGCATGTGAGAGGCAACCGATCATGGTATCTCTTGCACATCGATGTTTTTCTCCCTCTCTATCTCCCTTCCTTTCCCTCTCTCTAAAAATAAATAAATAACATTTTTTTTTAAAGAAGATTAAAAAAAACAAGAACAACTCAGTGCCAGATTCTTGCTGTTAGGAAATCGAAAGCATATAAAACTCCCGGATCCCCATTGTGATGCATTTCAATTAGTTGAGCTGGAAAAACTCATATCTACTTAAGTTACATGGATTCAAACCCCTGCCTCAGTCATTTTGTTCCTGGGGTACATGACCTTGAAAAATCCTTTGCAGCCAGAGAATCAGTCATGCGTCCTTTGGACTTCATATGCTTTGGGGGTTACTTAATGATTTAAACATTAATTTTTAAAGCCATATCATATTTCACATTTGAGTTTTTTCCAGCTCACTAGTAAGACGGCTTCCTTCTGAGTGCTGTTGACCAGAGATACTGCCTCTTAACTTTTTTGCTTATTAATTTTGACAATAGCTGCTATTTTTATTTGAGCAGTCTAGTTTGACTGAAGCCATGTTTTTAGGTTTAGCATTTTGACCAAGTAGCACAACAACGATTAATAATAAACCAGAAGCTGCAGATCCCTGTTATTTGTAAATACTATTGAAGATCACTGTGACATTTTGTGGCTGCAGAATTTTGAAAAATTTGAATGCTAAGCCTACTAAGGTTTATTTTATCACCAGTCTAGGCATACAGACGCAATGGTTGCTAATCCAGCTTTTAAAAACATGGTAATTAATTTATGCATATTAATCAGGTTATTAGTGTGTATTATGATTTTTTTCGTTCGTCCACATTAATAAGAGTATTTTCTTACAGACATTTTTTACTTGGTTACTTGGCTAAACTTTTCTAAGGAAAGTGTAATCCAAAAACAATTTTAGATTTAATCAGTACAATTTTCATTTCCATCAATATTAAACAGGAACATTGTCAGTGTAGTTATCCACATGATGTCTCGCTGTTTTTCCTTGAGGCTATTACCAGCTGATGGCCAGGGTGTACTCGCTGATTTTCACCGGTGACAGTTGATTGAAGCAAGTCAATTTTATTGCTTCAGATTTACAAGAGACAATTCTGAAGTTCTCTATCTCATCATTATTTTTATCCATCTCATAATTTCCTCTTTATGATATTTACTAGAGGAGTGCTTCATCCTTTTGCTTAATTATGATAAAAATAACATGTTGTTTGTGATGGGTGCTTCAGATACGTGGGCCCATTCCGAACATTTTGAATATTCCATATATCACCTTTATGTTAGGTAGGTATGTTCATTCTGAAATCACTGCCAAGTACCATTTAAATGTTGGACATAAACTTCCCCTGCTGGGGTTTGGCTGGCAGGCCTGAACAGCTTCTGCTCTTTTTCTCCACATGTAATATTTAGGTATGTTGAGCTGAGTGGCAAGATGAATTTAAATCAAAGCGTTATCCGTAGTGGGTTGCGTACTGAAGTGACCTGAGGTCATTTTTGGCTCTCTGAAGGTCATTTTGATTCTTCATTGGTGACACTAAATCTTTGCCGGCAGTCTGTAGTCTTCCCTCCCCAAATGTTGTAAGATTAATACTGTTCTAACAGTGCAGTGCATGTTGCTTACGATTAAATATGGAGCCCTGGGCAATGAGTTGTAGAGAGTTGGTCAGTAGTGCTCATTCAGTTTTTCTGAAGTGACTAAATGTGAATTTATTTAGGGCACACAATGCTTTTAGGCTTAGATCCAAAATGGTAGTTTGTAATACACTGCATCTTCTTCAGGTGCCTGCAGTGGTTTTGTTACAAACAAATCATGTGCCCTATTTCATTTATTTTTGGTATTTGCTCTACTTTGTCTAGTTTGTTTCATTCAAAATCCTAAGCATATTATTTTAATTTGTAAGATTCTTAGTAATGGCTTAATCTCAAGGGTTGCAGCAACTACTGAGAATATCTTATAGGTAAATAACATAATCATATATACTGTCAGAGAAGCTCACTGCGGCTGCATCTTGTAGAATAGATGGAAGAAAGCAAAGATAGATAAAGCCTGTTAACAGTCATTCAGGAAAGAGAATGGTGCTTTGAAATAAGGCAACGATGGCGGGGTGGTGTTCCCATGGAAATTGGGAATCTATTGGACTTCGGATGGAGGAGGAAGATGCTCCAATTTTTAACTTTAGCCATAGGATTGATGATCCTTGGAGTAGATCACCTTTTGGGTAGGTGATAAGTTTAATGTTGGGTGCATAATACAAAGGATTACAATATACCCTTCAAACACATTCACTAAAGGCTAACATTTTACCTTATTTGTTTTGTAGTTTCTTTGTCTTTCTGTCTCTTAGCGTGTGTTCATACCCATTCAAGAAGAGGTTGCCGACCTGAGGCTCCTCTACCTTCAATTACTTCACTGAATATTCCATAAAAACAAGCCATGGATTTAAAAATCAAGTTAACATTTATTTAGCATTCATATTATCTAATCTACAGACCTTACTCAGACTTTGGATCATGGTCCTTGGACAACAGAGTATAAATTAGAATTGGGAGTCGACTCTGGGGAAATGGGCAGTCTTGTCTTTTTTCTTTCTTTCTTTCTTTCTTTCTTTCTTTCTTTCTTTCTTTCTTTCTTTCCTTCTTTCCTTCTTTCTTTCTTTCTTATTTTAATATATTTTATTAATTTTTAGAGAGAGGGGAAGGGAGGGGGAGAGAGAGGGAGAGAAACATCGATATATGAGAGAGACATGAATTGGTTGCCTCTCTCATGCCCCCAACTGGGGACCTGGCCTGCAACTCAGGCATGTGCCCTGACCAGTAATCAAATTGGCGACCTTCCGCTCTGCAGAGCGATGCCCAACCCACTGAGCCACAGTGGTCGGGGCGAGAAACAGGCTTTCTACTGTCTGCATGCCGGAAGGGCGGAGACAGACCTGTTACTCAGGGACACCTTGGTGTTGATTCTGGTTTGAATTAAAATGGTGATGAACTGGCTTGATTATTTGGTTCAGGACTAGGTGAAAGTAGTGCACAGAAATATAGAGATATATCTCCATCCTTAAGTAGATATATATCCATCATGAAATAGATATATCTCCATCCTTAAATAAATAAGGATATATCTCCATGCTTAAATTTATACCTGACTGCGTAAATTCTTCCTGCTCGGCAACATAGCACCTAGTGTAAAAGGCCCATGGCATCGCAAAAAAATTGGGTTGCTTCCATCTGCCTTGAGCATATAGTGTCACTGCTAGGTATTTGCCTCTGTTAAGGACTTGGGAGTTGATATTCCTGCTCCCTGCAGCCATCCTGTTGACAATATGCTTCCATAATCCTGCCTTCTTACATTCATTAACCTTGCATGTGTCTGTCTATCCATCTGTTTGTATATACTTTTTGCATATCAGGAAGCACCTGAAATGACGTACAATCTCTCTGTTAGAAGGGGAAATAACAGTACTACTTGTCAATACTTATTCTTCTGTGTTGTATTATATGTTTAATTAAAGAACGTTGTACGAATATAGGTTTTCCTTGTGTGCCGTGTTTTGGGTATTGTATGCAGACCAGAGCTGTGATCTCTGCTTGTGCAGGTTTGCTTGGAGGTTCATGTCTGTATGCGGTCACGACTGCTGGCTGTTCTAGTTGTCGCCACACTTCCGGTTGTGGGGTGAGTGGTTAGGAGGCAGGACTTGTTGTCCGGCTGGACCGGATTTGAATCCAACTTTGTGAATTTGGGCAAATTGCTTAACCTTTCAAATGCATTTTTCTTTTTAAAATAGGGAGAATATTATCAACTCTTTATGGCTGATTTTCAGTTTTAAATGAGATAATGCTTATTAAAAATTTAGTATAACATCTGGCAGAAATTAAGAATGCAGAAATGGTAGCTGATATTAGTTTATTTCCTGCTGTCTATTTGGTTATTATAATCTATTAACCTTGAGAGTTGACTGCCCTATTTATTTCATGCTTTCTAAAAAAAATGTTAATGTCTTCCACAGGATTTTGTCTCCACAATTATCCGTTTGCTTGACAGCCCCTCCACGTCCATTAGAGCAAAAGCCTTCCTGGTTCTTTTGTACATTTTGACTCATAACCACGAGATGCTGCTGCTCAGCTGCCAAGCGAGGTATGATTTCTCTGATTTCATCAGTAACGTCAGCTTGGTGCCTGTTTTCTTGGTTTCATTAGTAGTAATTTTGGTCTCTATGTAGCTGGTATTGAATTTCTTGTAGGTCTCCCCAAGGCTTTGATATTTGATACGTGGCCACAGCTTGGGAACCCTGGAGGCCAGAGGAGGTCCCGTGAAATGAGAGCAAGGACACTGGGAAGTGCCTGGTGCCGCCCAGGTCTCAGCGCACCCCAAGGCAGGGCCTTAACGCTGGTTCCGGTTCGCTCTTGGGGAGGTGTTCCTGCGCCAGTGCGGTCACAGTTTTCATTATCATAGGATTCCGGATTCCGGAATGCACAGTTGAGAGCCCAGAGGGCAGCCGAGTGGAAGGAAGGAGCAGAGCAGGGATCGGGCGTTACAGGATGGGCAGGTCTCTCACTGGCTCCCGGGTTCACCTCCCAGAAGCTGTCCTGGATGCACCTCGGGCTCCCTCCTCGCTCTGGTGCTTCCTGAGTGACATCTTCTGAACTGTCCAGTCTACCCACATGCTCTGCTGAAACCCAGAGGAACCTTAAAAATATGGTTTAATGTCTGTTTCTCAATCTAGCTTTGTACTTATTACAGAATATTGAGGAGAGCCTGGAATTGTTGTGTTTGATCTAGATTAGGGATTGGCAAACTCTTTATTGTAAACAGCTAGAGAGTAAATATTTTAGGGTTTCAGAATCAAGAGGCAAAATTGGGACTATTACGTAGTTATTTGTATAATGAGAGAAATCAAGTTTATATACATTTTTTAATTGACAAAAATATAGTACTAATAATTGAGTACTTTTTTTTTGTAATACAGGTCTAATGAGAAGAATAGAATTTTTGGGGGGAAGAGATAACATTTTGCCTAATTAGGGGTCAAAGTTAGTAGTACCCCATCATCAAAGCAGTTGCAGGCGCCCATGTTAGTGCTGACCCTCTACTGCAGTTTTACGGTGCTTATCTTTGAAGATGGCCCTCACACAGACAGGAACTGCCACGTACCAATATCAGTTCAGGAGCACATTCACTGCTTGGAAGGCATTTGTGGGATTCCGTTAGACTCCACCCCGATGCCTGCCTTTAGCCTGTCCTTACATTGCAGCAACTTCTAAATCAAGGCTATGTGGAAGCTCTGAACTAGTTTCTTTTGTTTCTCACTCCCCAGGGATCACTGTCCTTCGTTGTTTTATGTCCAATGCCTTTTAAACTGGTTTCACGTACGTTTTGGTTGTTTTCGATGGGAGGGTGCATCCTGCCCCGTCAGTGCATTAGGGCTGGAAGCAAAAGTTGCTCTTGTCTGTTTTTAAAGACCTCACCCCAGCTCTGCTGCCTCCCATCTCTCCTTGTGTCCACCATCACTTTTCACCTGGACATATAATAATATTATCAACAGCTACACTTACATTATTTCTTGGACTCCCAGCCTGGTCTCCATGTAGCGACTAGGACATGTCTTACCCAGTGTGAGCCTGCGTTTGTTTCTTCCCTGCTCAGGCTCTTCTCGTGCCATCCTGTGGTGCTGGAGTAACACCCCTGCCCCTACCGCGGCCTCGTCTGCCCTTCATCCGTCCGCTGGTCCTGGCCCACCTCTTAGACCTTGTCTTGTACAACTTCCTCTTCTTCTTTTTTTTTTTTTTTTTTGCACAAACTCCATTCCTGCCATGTTTTTTTCTGTTGCTTTTTAAACACTAAACATGCTATAGTCACCTCAGGGCTGATCCCAGTTTCTGTTCCCCGGGCTATAATGCACTGCCCCCGGGGGTTCACGTGGCCAGCTTCGTGAGGTCATTCAGCTTCCGTTTAAGGGTTACTTCTTTGGAGAGCCCCTCAGATCATTCCATCTAAAGTCCCCCTCATACCCCCAACTCCAGAAACTCTTCACCTGGAAAGAATTAAACCACTTCAGACCACCAGAGCCCACGCATGCTGTCTTTGGTCCTCCCAGTAAATTGCTGTGATTTCTGTAACTCTGAATGAATACTTAGAAACTTTAGCTGTGGTGGGAAGGTGGCGGCTTGAAGGCGTCCCCTGACCCTGCACAGATGAGTGTAGAGGAAGGCCCGGCAGGTGAGGCTTAGCCTGCAGGAGAGGTAGGGGAGGGCCCCGTGCTTCCTGGCTGTGTGGCAGAGATGACGTCCTACCTCCTAAGCTTGGCTGAATACCAGACCTTTGGGCTCCCATGGGCTCCAAGATTGCAGATGCTCTCAGTGCGCGGTCGCTGGGGCAAACACTCCCATCCCCAAGAAATCGGGAGTGGGACTGAAGTGCAGCCAGTCTGCCCCAGTCTGCCCAGTCTGGGAGGCTGCAGAGAGAGGACCCCGCTGTCCTGCACCTGAAGGGAACAGCTCCTTCTCACCTCCTGCTCCTTTGCCACAACCTGTTCTGATCAGGTGCTGAGTAGGCGAAGAAATCGTGAGTAAGAGGAGAGTGGTCATAGTCCATTAAGAGAGAGAGAGTTCTCGAAGGAGGAAGAACAAGAAGAACAGGCAGATCTTCACTGAGTCAGAACTAATGGAGTAGACAGAGTTTTAACAAACAAGTAACGAAAACTATGAAGAGGTAGTTTTTTGAAATTCAGTGGACGTGCTGAAGGAGAATGGCCTTTGGAGGGCAGTAAGGAAGACCACACAGAGCCAGTTATGAAGACGGGAGAATTCGTGTGAAAACAATAGAAAAGCTGGAGTGAGCCCAGGAGACCTCACATGCAGAGATCAAGGACTTCAGGAGGAGGAGAGAACAGAGGGAGGAGGAACTACTGGAGGGAGTGATGGAGGTTGTCTTCTGCTTCAACACACGCCCTTCTGATACTGTATTCAACTCAGAGTAAAGGAATTAAAAAGTCACAAAACCACAAGGGGGAGGGAAAAGGGAAAGACGGCCAAAGTGGGCAAGCCTGTCACCTGTCCTTCATTTTGGAAGCTGGGGGGCTGGCAGACAGGTGTTTGCTCCTTTAGCAGAGTGGAGATTGCCGTGATTCCTTGTTGTCTGCAAGGGGAAGGGCCATGAGGAGACCTGATTGCTGTATGGCAGTTCTGCAAAGGTCAGGAATTGGGGATGTGTCACGTACCTTCCAAGGCAGCAGTCAGAGGGAGATGAGACTGAAGATAGGGTTGATGGAGGTTGGATTCCCAGCCCTCCTCACCCACCTTGAACGTCCAGGAGATGCCTCCTCTTCCACCTCAGCAGGTGGTGTGAACGGGAGAGGCTGCGAATGTGGGTGTAGGCACAGATAAGAGGAAGATGAGGTGCCTTCTGACAGATCAGGATTGTGTGTAAGCCTGCTTACAGTGAAGGGGGAGGGCCTCTGCCCCTACCTGTGCTTGACTTGCAGACTCCTGGCATCCTGGCCTGCATACTATTGGCCAGAGTTTGGAGATCAATTTCAGGGAAGCTGACTGATTCCCCAGTAAAAACCCCATAGGGACCCATGTTTGGGTGTCCCTTACTGCAGTTAATGAAACCTTGCCTGATATTTCTGTACCGATACCCCATCAGTCATAAGCCTTATTCCTGCACACAGGCTATCCAATGACACTTTAATCACAGATGGATGTTGGATTTTGTTAGATGCTTTTCCCACACCACTTAATATGAGAATATGATTTTTTTCTGTTTTAACATGTCAATGCAATATATGGTACATTACAGTAATTGTAACTCATCTTTGGTGTAGATTTCTTTGAGTGTGTTCTAGTTTGAGTTTTTCCAGCTTCTCGAATCTGGACATTATGTTTATTATCTTAGGAGACTGTATATTCTTACCTCAATCTGTGCCATTAAGTCTTGTTGCTAGGTAGGGGCGGAGGTCCAGCTTCTCATTGGACCCCATTGACAGTAACCTGGTGAGGGATCAGATTGCTGCCTGCTTCTGCTGGTTAGGGAGTGGCAGGTCAGCTTCCTGCTAAGATGTGCTGATACTTCCTGCAGAGAAATTAGGGAGGGCTCGTTTTAGCTGGGCAGGGAATGGGGAACCAGCTGCCGCTCAGTGTCAAGGGCACTGCCCTTACAGGGAAATCGGGTCATTGCTGCCTGCTTCTACTGGGCTGAGGATGGAAGATCAGCTCTCTGCTTGGCCTTGCCCTCATTTCCCACCTGGGGGTTGGAGTGGGTCACCCGCATCCCTGGAACTGAAGTAGAAGATCAATTCCTTGATTGGCTCCACTGAAACTGGGGAGAAGGAAGAGGGATGGAGTTTGGTTTTGTTTTTTTTTTTAGTTTGCCAGAGTAGGACAGCTATCGCCAAAAAGGTTTCTTGTTAGGCCATATTTTTACTGTTCTTTGGCTGGGGGAAACAGGCCTTTTCTTTTTGGGGTGCAGCTCTGGGTTGAAGGCTTGTCTGGCAGCCTTTCCTGCACCTATGAGAGGTAATAAGGGAGCTGAGGCAATGCGCTGCTGTGTTGTTCCCTGTGGTCTCCATTCTTCACGGAGTCCACCTCCCACCTTTCAGAAGCTCTTATGCTTTGAAAAATATGATGTCCAGGAACTTTTAGTCATTAAGAGGGAGGACCTGAGGGGGCCGGGGCTATACCAGCTTGGCAGAACAGGAAACCCAAAGTCACTTGTAAACTCTGCTTGTGGAAATGCGAATCGCTCCAACTTTTTGCAAAGTAACTCAGAAACATGAGACTATTAGCAATACGCATGGCTTTGGTCCTAACAGGCCTGCATTTGGTATTTTGCTGCTAGAAATAGAGGTATGGATTGTTTAGAAAATATGAGGGTTTTCAGTGGACCATTGTTTCTATTGGTTAATATCTGGAAGCATAGTTCATGTCCATTGGTATTGAAACACTTCAATAAGTTATGGTATAGCTGTATTATAAGTATAGTATAAGTAGGTGGTTCATTTAATTAACTTGGAGGGATGTTCATTATATATAGGTAAGTATAAAATTGAAAGGAAAATTATATATTAATAAGTTGTTTTATAAAACAACAAATAAAAATGGCAAAATTTGTGTGTACTTGTACAAAATTTTATTAAA